CTCGGTAGGCTGCGGCGGCGGCGCCGGCTGCTGCTTGCTGGCTCCCTGGCGCCCGCGGAAGGACGAGACGCAGACTGAGCTCAGCATTGGACAGGGGGCGGGGCGAGGGGGCGGGGTCCCGGGGGCGGGACGGGAGGGGAGCGGTAGCCTTGATTGGGTGGAAGGAAGTGCTAGGTGGAGGGGAGGAGCCACGAGGAGAGCGATAGATGTGATAGGGCGAGAGGAGGAAATGGGCTGGAGTGGGTGGGGCCGTGGGAGGAGGTGAGAACTGGGCTGAGCTAGAACGCTGCCAGGTTGAATGGGGCGGGGCTGCAAATGAGAAACAGCGATTGGATCGTCTTGAGAAGGGCGGAGCTAGGTGTAAAAGGGGACAGGCGGGACGCTAACGTCGCCTGTTTTGGTTGCACCGGTAGAACGGAGGTGGCGTGCTAAATTTGAGAGACCTGATGGAACTGAAGAAAAGGGGAGGGCAGGGCAGAGAGAGAGGACAAGCCCAAACTATCTTAAGGTAATGCCACTGACTGTGGCAGACAGAGGGAGGGAAGGAGCCACAATGGGAAAAAAGTCTTGATTGGAATGAGCAGGGGTAGGTGAGAAACAAAAGATCGAAAAGCCGGCAGCACCCTGCCTCCCGATGGAGGAGACCGGGAGGGGAGGGGCTTAAGAATAGGCGGGGCTACAGATAGAAACAGTCCTGACTGGACAGCACGAAAGGGGTGGCACCGAAAAGGAGCGACAACTAGAGTGGACAATGTTGAATGGGACTAAACTGAACTGAAAGCTATAGGGCGAGAAGGACAGAGAATGAGACCTGAAGAGAAGGGGCAAAGATGAACGAAGGCTGGAAACCCTGGACGTCTGACCAGCACCGAGGAAGGGGCGGGGCTAGATGAGGGACGAGGCCGTGGCTGTCAGAGTGGTCCAGTTAGACTGGGCAGGACCGGGAGAGTGTGTCCGAGTGGATGGGAGGGACCGAAGGTGTGTGTGTGTGTGCGTGCGTGTGTGTGTGTGGTTCTACAAATAGTCTAAAATGTCTTGAGTGGTCCGTAGGAAGTAAATTAAGGGAGACACGGAGCTTAAAGGGGTTTGAGAGCTGCTCGGCTGGACGGCGGTGGGACAGAGCTAAAAGAATGGAGAGTAAGAATATGCGTACTGGTTGAATGAGGGAGTTGGAGGGGGCGGGGTGCTACGGGAAAGGGGAGACCGGCAGAGAGTAAAAAGCAAATAGGCTGGACGGAAGAGGGGCGGGGTCTCCTGGGGGTGTCGTGGTCAGCACAGCCTAGAGAGAGCCCTAAGGCTCAGCGGGGCCTTATAGCGGGGCTGATGGAGAAAGGGGTCGAGGCCCAGAGAATGACAGACTGCAGACGGGTGAATCAACAGATGGATAAGGACTGCACAGGAGGGGTTACTAAGGGATCAACAAGGACCTGAAGGAAGCGTAGCCAAAGCCCCTGGGGAGCACTACCTAGACCAAAGCCAAGAGCAAGATCAATGGTAGAGTTGTGTCCTAAAAGCGGGAAGTGATGAGTTGGAGGTGTGGTTAACTGGGGGGTGGGGTAACTGCACAGCGGACCGCCCCGTAGCGGGCCCTGTCCTGCCCCCTCGGCTGGCCCAGCCGGCGGCTACAGCTGGGGCTGCGGCGGGAGGAGGCGGCGCCTGTAGGAGCGAAGGGGGCGGGTCAGGGGTTGCAGACCTCAGAGCGCTGCTTCGTCACTGGCCCGCCGCCTCCCTCTGCAGGTGCGGCGACTGGTTCGTATCGCCTCCCCACCCCATCCCAATTCCCGTTCCTGAGTCTCCCGTGGTCTCTTTTTTCTCTCTTCTCTTTTTGTGTCCTCCCCGTCTCTGAGTTTCTGACCCCTCTTCTCTGGGTCTCTTGTCCCTTTGTATTCTGAATCTATCCTCCTCCTTCTGAGTCTTTGCCCCTCTTCTTTCCGGACCTCAGCCCTTGGCCTCACCCCGCCCCCAGTCTTTCTGCTTCTCTCCCTGGGTCTGTCCCCGCCACCTCTTTGTCCTCTACTCCTCTGCCCCTCCCCCCTTCTCTCTAGATCTCTGCTATTTCTATTTCAGGGTCTCTACCCCTTCCTCTCCACAGCACATAACCACCACCACCACCACCACCCTTCTGGGTTTATGCCCCTTTCCTATGTGTCTCATCACACACATTCCTGAATCTCCCCCTCCCTGTCTCTTTGTCGTCGTCGTCCCCCCCTTCCGGAGTCTACCCTCTCTTCTCCTGGTTCTTTATGTCCTGTGTGTTACCCACCTCAGTCTCCGTTCTCCCACCCCCTGTCTCTATTCCCTTTCTAAGAGTCTCTGTCCCTCCTTCTGGGTCTGTGTCCCCCCTTTTGGGTCTGCCCCTTCTATTTGGATCTGTCTTTCGGAGTCTCTGTTTCTCTCTCTCTCTCTCTCTCTCTCTCTCTCTCTCTGTACCCAACTCTTTCTGGGTCTGTTTCCCCTTATCTCTCCAGTTCTCTTACCCCCTGTCTTTGAGTCTCTGTCCCTCCCCCTCTGGATCTGTCCCCCCCTCTCTAGGTCATTGTCCCTCTCTCTTTCTCTCTCTTTGGTCTCTATCCCGGTCTTTTTGGATCTCTTTCACACACACCCTTTTCTGGGTCTCTGTCCCTCTCTGTGGCTCTCTTTGGGTCTCTATCCCCTTCTCCCTGGGTCTCTGTCCCCCACTCTCTCTGGGTCTCTACCCTTTCTCTTTCTAAATCTGTCACCTTCCCAAGTCTATATTCTCCCCAGATTTTTTCACTGCCTTCTGGGTGTCTTCACGCCTCTCCTTGAGTCTGACACTCACTCTCTCTTTCTCTCTGGACCTCTCTTCCTCTCATGCTTGTCTCCCCATTCCTGTCCGTTCCCTCCCCCCCCCCCCCGTGTCTTTCTGCAGCTCTAACATTTCAATCTCCACCCCCCCCCCCATCACCCCTCTAACCCCCATCCTGGCCAGGACTCCGGCTGCGTCACTGCGGAGTTACAAAGAGAGGCCTATCCTGGGACTATGAAGGTGGCTTCCCTCACATACCCCCTTCCAGACTCTGGGTTTCCTAGCTAACCCCCTGAACCAGTATTTAGGACCCTCAGGCAGCCCTCAAGTCTCTGACAGGACCAGAGGGGTGGGCAGAGCAAAGCACATCAAAGCTTCCTAGCCCTCTCTGCCCTGAATTCTGGTGTACCCCTAGGCAGGAACAGTGAGTGTTGATGGGAGGGACTAGGGCCGGTTTGTAAGAGGCTCTGGGTCTGAATGGGAGTCAGAGAAGAGAGCAGAGCCAGCTGGGAGTAGGTATGTAGCAGGGGCTTGGGTAAGGGCCTGGGGTATAAATACGTGAAGCTAAGGTAAGAGTCTAACCTACCACCCTCTCTCCACTACACTTTTCTCTTCTGATTTTGACAGCAGCCAAGCATGGGGTCAAGTTACCAAATCAGCATTTTCAAAGAGGTCAGAAGGTGTGGGGGCTAGGAGCAAACTGGAAGGGAAGGGGCTTAAGGGAGGAGATTGGGGACCACAGCCACCAGGGGAGGTCTAGCAATGAGGGTGATACAGACTTCTTTGGACTCATGGAATTTGAATGCCGGCTGCCCTATCCACATAGCCTGCCTCAGACCGCACCAGGGGTAGAGGGGATTTGGGGTCTTGGATCCTCCACCCATCCACTAGAGAGGAGGGGGCTTGTGGGGGCTCAGGTTATGGTACACCCAGCCCTGTCTACCGTGAGAGAGATGGACTCGATTTTCAGGTAGGGACACCAAGAGTGAGGAGGCCAATATCTATCACTTTCTCCAGAACCTTCTCCCCATCCCTCCCTAATCTTATTTTTTTCCCAGCCCCTCAAGACACAAAATTCTCCAAAACTCCAAAATCCCACCTCCATAATCCTCAGGGTCCCCTTACCACACTCCTCCTCCCATTCCCCTAGGGCCTGGAATTGGGGAGGGGTCTTCCCCTCCCTAACTTCTGAGGCCCTTTCCTTGTTCTTCCACCCCCATTCCCATTAGTTACAAATCCAAGAAAAGGGGCTCACCTGCACTAAAAATTGAGAATATGGGGAATTCCCTGTGTATGATCCTTGGTTACCCCAAGATCCTCCAAGTACTTTGGCTCACAAAGCTGGAAATTGAGGGGAATCTATCCGCTGTAATCTCTGTGTTCTCTCCCGAGTTCCCCGCCTCCATAATTGGGATTTTGGCTGTCTCGCCGCCCCCAGTCCCTGAGCTTTGGCCCCCCTCCCCCGTACTCACCCCAAGTCCTGGCGGGGCGGGAATGGGGGATCCGGGGCTGGCGATGGGGGGAGGGGTAACCCAACCCCAACAGCTCTGGGCAGTGAGAGGCTGCGGAGGGGGGCAGTGACATCACCACCGGAGGAGGGGCAGCATCGCTCCCCCCAACCTGGGGGCTTCAAGTCCCGCCTTGATGGCAGACCCAGGAGTCCCCGAATCCCAGGAGGAGAGAGGAGGAACTAAGAGACTAGGTCTGCGACAATAGTATCGCCTCCTTTTATAATGAACTCTGGGAAACCCTTTACCACTACAACCCTCAAGCCACCTGTCGCAGCCGTCGCGACCTGTCGCCTCCCACGAATGTTGTGGCTGCGCCCGCCCCCAATAAAAAAAGAATACGGCATGGACTACAAATTCCATGATGCTCTGCGGCGTTGGGTGCCTTTCACAAGAGGC